TCTACCACGCAATCTACCACGCAGTCCACCACACAGTCCAGCACACAATCCAGTACACAATTTACCACACAGTCCACCACACAGTCCACCACACAGTCCACCATGCAATCCACCACACAATCCACAGCAAAGTCCACCACACAATCCACCACACAGTCCACCACACAATCCACCACGCAATCTACCATGCAGTCCACCACACAATCCACTACACAGTCCACCACACAGTCCACCACACAATCCACCATGCGGTCCACCACTCAATCCACCACACAGTCCACCACACAGTCCACCATGCAGTCCACCACTCAGCCCACCATGCAATCTACCATGCAATCCACCACACAGTCAACCACACAATCCACTACACAGTCCACCACACAATCTACCACACTATCTACCATGGGAGGTGGGAAAGATTTTCCAGTGTAACTGCATTGCACTACCTTGATCATTTCTTCAAGAGGGTAATATTCTCAAATTCCTCCATACTTTTCTCTTTGATGACATTATGTTTTTAAAGAAATGTTATGGCTTTCACTACTGAAATCAGTAGAAAAATGACCAATTTGTTATCAAGGAATATGCAGGGAATCTTGGGTTACTAAATTGTACAGCAAGCTTTTATTATTTAAGGAATGGATACTCCAGGCTCCAGGCTTCTCTTTCTCCCTCCTCGTCTTAGGTCATTTCCGTTGATAGAATTTAACCTTCATAAAGACTGGGACCTTGTCTGTCTGAGCCACAGCTGGCACATAATAAATAATCAAGAAGTTTTTGATGCACAAATTGTGGAAAAATAAAACATATAAAAGGAGTTTCTTATACATGTGTGTGTGTGTGTGTGTGTGTGTGTGTGTGTGTGTAAGTGTGTAACTGGGAATGAACACAGGGCCCCTGTACCACTGAGCTACATCCTAGCCCTTTTTAATTTTTCTTAAAATTTTGAAACAGGATCCCACTAAGTTGTCCTTGAACTTGCAACCCTCTTGCCTGGAAATATAGTCATGTACCATCACATCTGGCTTATTAGTTAATATTTTTAACAATTACTTTAAATAAATTTCAAAAAGGAGATTTTTTTCCTAATAGCATCCTTCTTATTCTCCTTCCCCTGCCACAATTAGTATATAACAGTCCTATTTACCCTCATATTTCTAAGGTATACTTTTCTCTTTAATTTCCTTCTAATATCCAATGGCAAAATTCTTCTCTCAACAACACATACCTCAACTCTAGACCACAAACTGACCCAATAAACAATTCACGTCCCCAAGGATTTTGTTTAATAGAGTTCTTCCCTGTTTGCCCCAACTCATTCACAATATTTCCTCTTTCCTCATGAGATGAATGCTAATTCTGTTCAACGGCCAGTTTTTCAAAAGATAATGGAGAGAAAAATCACCCAAAAAGGAGGCTAAGGGAAAAGAACAGGGAGCAACCGTTTGAAAATACTACTTTCCTGTATCATCTTATTTTTACCTCTCTGGAAACTCCATCAATTATCTTGACCATTGAAACACAGAATTTCAGAAACAGGAGGGACACTTTAAAGACTAATTATCCTATTCTTTCTTCTGGGTTAACTGACTTAATAAATTTAAAATCAAGACTGCTTTCCCATATATAATGCTGTGTTGCATCTAAGTGATGCTTTGAAGACGTCATTATTCATTTAGTGGCAAGGGGGAGTCGTATTCATAGAATCTGGAAAAGTGATCATCTCTCTTGGTTATTTCCTTTGTCCCTAAGGCTACATTTGAGGATAGTATGTTATTGTTGTTGTTTATTAAAAAAAGTACCCTCCTTAGCAGAGCATTTTATGTCTTCATTATACTGCTAATTGTTTCTATTAGATTTAGCTATGTTTAAGGCTATGTTTTCTTTTGGAAACATAAAATCTTCAAAAATAATGTAATTATAATAACAATAATAACTTACTCTCTACTAAGTCCTGTTCAAAGTACTTTACATATACATAATCCCCCTGAATTCTCTTAACCATCCATAAAAGTAGATATTATTTATTATTCTCAGTTAACAGATAAGAAAACTGAAGTACAGAGAAAATAAAGAACTTACCCAAGATAATGAATAGTAAATGTCAGGGCTAAGATTCAAGCCCAGGTCAAGGCTGAGACTCAAATGACTTTTAAAGCTGTGCTCGGAGAGTGGAGGGAGCGTAGGATAATGTGCATGATCTCTTCCCTTGTAGGACGTAGGACAGTGGCTTACACACGCATAAACTAAAGCCCTATAATGATATGTGTGTGTGTGCCCACATCTGTATCTGTGTTGGATGATGAAAAAGAATAAGAAAAAGATCAGAAGAGAACTGTCTACCCAGGATGTAGAGATCACTTATTTAGGTTATTAATCCACTATCACTGGCTATGAGTAAAGCATTATCAAAATTTTCAGGCACAGATTTTTAACCAACCTAGCATTGTTCAGCAGCCCAAAAATTTTAGTTAAAATTTCTGCGTATATAATATATACATAACCACCATGTTTTACATAGTATTTTACTTGAGCTAAAAGTGAACATCCATTCAGCTAGATATAGATATTTATATATCTGTGTATATCTTTTATGGCCATTGGGGCACTGTTTGAAAGGGTTGAGTCTTCCATTCAGCTTATTCAGCTCATTTTATGTCTTATCTCTTTATACATTAAATAGGAAAGTGCTACTGATGCTATGAACAACAGTAATAAAACCACATCACCAAACTCACTCTTAGAAAAAAAAAATCACTATTAATAGAGCCAAGTTCCCACTCTTTACCTTTGTTCTAATTACACAGTATATCATTTCCTTAGCTTATTTCATTTAACTATGTTATAAACTGTGTGGACAGCTGTGGTTCACCCCTCATCCATTGCTAAAGCTTAACAAAGGTGCCGTAGTTCAAAAACTGGTAAAAAAAAAAAAAAATCCATAAAGCCCTAGAGATATTCAAGGAGTTAATGTTTAAAAAATATAACTGGATAAAGTGACTATCTGCAGCAAATATTTAAGAAGAATAAAAGCCATCAGAGCAAATGGTCTCCTTCCCTCTTGAACATTCTGGAGTATTTAGTACCTGTACCACAAGTTTTAACACACTCTGGTCTTGTTTGTTATTGGTAATTTATTTCTTTTTATGACTCTGCAAGGTGACCAGGTGTGCATAAGCCAGTTGTCCTGCTGGTGGTAATATTCTAACACAAAGAGCAAAGCCTCTTTCTTTCTTTCTTTTTTCTTTTCTGTTTTTTTTTGTTGTGTTTTTTTTTTTTTTTTTTTTTTTGAGGAAACAAGTTTACATGTAGAGAGGTCATGCTGCATAGAGAGGAGAAAACAGCATTTGGATTCCGAAGCACGAAGTTCCCCTGTGACCCCGCCACTCACTAGTGGCGCTTACCTGGATGGGCCTGGAAGGACAAGAAGCACAGCCTCTCTTTTAGGATATTCTGCAGATCAAATGAAATTACACTGAAAACAAAGTTAGCAAGCTATCATTTACATATTAAGTTGTATTAGTAAAGGGAAAACATCTCAAGAAGATCCTGACCATTTCCTTTCCTGGTTTAGAGCCTGCCTTTGGAGGATTTCCA